TCAATGCTTCACTTTCTAAAAAGACCATTTAGTTCTCTCTGCAATGATGTAAAAAATGAGCGTTTTTCCCATTTGGCTTCCTAGAAAGGAGCAAAAACGGGACGGAAAACATGAAATTATGGCAAAATTTTGCACCTAAGTGTCTGATATACAAATTCCGCTTTCTGTGTCAAAACTACTCGAATTTCCTCACTCATGTTGTGATCACTGAATCAAATTTTAAATTCTCTATCCAACGATGCCAAAACGAATTTTGTGGCTCTAATGGTTCCTAAGAAACTTCGAAAAAAGCAGGGTCATGTTCAAGTGAATTTTGCAACCCAAAAAGAAATCACGCAAATCTAAAACTTTAAAAACTTAAATTCAAGCATTTTTTGAGAAAGCTGTCAACAATTCCCCATCCATAATTCACTTTCTAAAAAGGCCATTTATTTATGTCTAGAATGATGTAAAAATGAGCGTTCTTTCTCATTTTGTCTCCGAGACATGAGCAAAAACGGGACGGAAAACATGCAATTTTGGGAAAATCTTACACGAAGTGTCCAAGGGCGGATCCAGGGGGGGCAGTCATGGGGGTCATGMCCCCCCCCCCCCTTTGTGTTGAGTTTATAACGACTAACGATACTTTTTCTAATTTCATAGAAAACAAAGGCTGAATTTCTACTACTTGACCCCCCCCCCCTGACGCGAAAGCTGGATCCGCCCCTGTCTCTGAGCTAATGAGTTACAACTCATCGGTTAATGAGTACTCATTTATTAATAAAGATTAACACTTTACTAGACCCGCGACTGGAATTTTAACTTTAGTATCTGAAAAAAGGTCTTCAACATTTTTAATGAGTAACGTTTTGCTACTTTGCCCAAACAATTTTAAAAGTCACCTCACTTTTATGAAGCAATGTTTTTCCAGCAACGGAACTGAGTTACTGCCCCGGTGCGTTGGGTTGGCGCACCAAGCCATTTGCGCAGCACTGCGCCAACTCCTAAAAATTCCCTGAGTTACCCAGGCTTACTTTCGCAAACTTTTCTCCTCTTAAGATTGTGTTGTTTGACGCAATTGGACTCAAGAGCATCACCTAAAAGACTGGCAGAAAATTTTGTCAGCTCTTCTATGGATTTTCAAAGTAAAATTTTACATGGTGGCTCATTAACGATAATTCAAACGCTCAATATTTTTGCATACGAAATTGCGTCAAAAGGTTGAATGTTTCTTCAAAACGGGGTTGATTGTTAGAAGAAAAATAAAAATCTCCAACAACATTCGAATAAGGTATTTTATAATCAAATAACTAAAGTTAGATATCGGTAACTATAGCATTTATTGTTATGTTTACATTTTAACGCCGGATGGGACATCCTGTATATTGTTCAGAAATTTATCGAATAACAGATTTATGCGGCTGCCATTAGATGCTGTCTTTGTTAGATTATAATATTAATATTACAATTCGAACATTACTCTGTGGAGGATTTTAAAAATAACTCGAACTGGACGGAAAGGTTTAATGAGCTTGCCTGACCGAAAAACTGTGACAATAGAAAGTTAATTCTAATAAAAAAATGCTCAGCCGTATAGGGATTTCTTGATAAAGTGAGGGCTTGTTTCAAGCAAAAGAATTAACTTTTCGCGCTCATCACTTCAGTGTTGTTAGCCTGTTGCTGCGCCGAACCTCTGAAGATGCAAGCCACTCGTGCATGCAAAACGTTATTGGAAAGAAAAAATCTATTCCAAGACGAAATAGATTTTTCAAAACTTAATCAACTCGTCAAAAAGTGAATGAACAATTAGTTGTTTGATTAAAAAAAAATTAATAACAAAATAATTAATATAGTTCACAACGAAAGCTCCCTAAACATGCAAAGAAGCAATTTATAATCATATTAGCCTGCATGCCATAGTTTGATCTATTATATTTCGATTTCAAGTAATTTGTGAAAACCGAATTTTCTTGCAATTTTTAGGTGATTTTTTTTAAAGTTTGATGATGGCACTTACCGTCTTGCCAAAAACTTGTTCTAAAAATTTGAACCTTTAGATCTTTTTAGTCCATTTTAGGTATGATTTTCTCTTCTTTGTATACTCGCTTAAAAAAAAAATTCACTTGTTTATCGTATTGGTATTACTACCAAACGTGCTTTTATAAACTCAGTTCTAC